AGAAAAACAGAACTTGCGAGATGTAAACTCAAAATTCAGAGGAAAAAAAATCAGAAAAAAAATCAGAATTGCAAGATGTAAACTCAGAATTTTGAGAAAGTCAGAATTCTAAATTTATATCTTACAATCAAACTTTTTTTCTAGCACTTCTGAGAGATATAAACTAAAATCGCAAGATATAAATGCAGAACTGCGAGAAAAAAGTCTGAATTGTGAGATAAAAAAGGCTATTTTTATTATTCCGTGGCTTCCATACTTTTTATAATTTTTTATTTCCGTTTTAGTTACTTTAGTACATCAACTTAAACTGAGAAATAATTCCATGGCAACTTGCGGAAATAAAATAAGTTTAAGTTTTTTTTATATATATATATATATATATTTTTTTTTTTTTAATGCTAATGTTTATTTTTTTTATTTTTTAAGTTTTTTTTATGGTTTAAGTTTTACACTCTTAAAAATAAAGGTTTCAAAAGTGAGTTTTCGCAGTGATGCCATAGAAGAACCATGTTTGGCTCCCTGAGAAACCTCTTTTTATTGTTAAGTACATTTTAATAATCTAAAAAAAAAAAAAACATTTTCCACTTCCACTAAAAAAAAAAAAAAAAAACTTTTGAGCAATGGAAAGGTTCCATTGATGTTAAAAGTTCTTTATGGAACCATATAATGATGCCAATATAACTTAAACCAGTTATTAAGAGTGTAGTTTTAGTTAACTAATCCTGGCTGCAGATACCATCATGGATCATCCAGAATTTTTAAGACTCGCCATTATAGGCTGAAGGCATATTTTGGCTAATGCAGGAAATAGAGTGAATGATAACTCATTAAAGCTTAATATTTTTCCATTGCTTATGGGTTCAGATTGTGAGCTCATTACACCAGCACCTACCAAATGGCATTCCCTGACACTCACTGTCACAGTTTTTGCTGAGTCTGGATTCTGATTGAAATCTGTCACTTCTTTGAGGCTGAACTTTCGTGGCATTTTGAGACTTTTGAGGCTCTGACCGCTGCCCTCATTGCCGATGCACTTTGTCTGAGCTCCTCTTGACACGTCGATTCATTTTGAAACGCTTTTTGTGAGAAACACTCACTGGCCTGATTTAGCATCAAGCCTCTGGCACAGGCAGATTTTAATCTTCCCTGTCAAAAACAAGAACTGGTACTTGAAGCTATGATTCCTAAAGAATAGCCTCTTCAGAATTATTCATGCATAGAGAAACAAATGCTGATGCTAGTTTTAAAATTGGGGACCCTGTCGAGTCACATTCCAATAGGAATTATTACGTTTTCAAACTTCTTGATACCAAGGACCTCTAAAATTGGTGATTCTTATGAAGGACCAGCATTTATCCTGTTAACTGTCACTGGTCAACCGGTGGACCCATTTGTTATTACATGTTTATAACAGTAATATCCAAACCTAAAGTAATCTTGACAAACTATGTATCATTTGAAAGCTTAAAGACTCTAGTTTTCGTATTTGTTGGCTGTTTTTTAATGTTTTACAGAGCAACTGTAATTTATTAATTTGGCACAAGAGTACTCATCAGAGTCAGTGAGCGCGTTCTGACCTTTATTTTGAAATAGCCATGCACATATAAAAATGGTAAAAAAAATAATAAAATGGTTACATTTTCATACCAATAGTAAAAAAATAACATCAATTCAATTTTTTTTGTTTTTGTTTTTTTGAGAAAAAAAGGTTTTTAAAAATGTTTTGAATATAAATTCTGTGTTTGTGAGGCAGTGCGAACTAACACAAGTCCAGGATGTCATTTATGTGATTGTTGTGTCTTGTGGTCCATTGGATGATCTCATTCTGATGGCAAAAAATGTAAATGGCCATTCATTTAACTTAGTCTTTTAGAAATTACATCAGAAGGTTTCTGTAAGAACATTTTAATCATTTTAAATTGCTATGACGGTCAAAGACTTAGTCATTAGCAGTAAGTGACATTCTGATTCAGACTCCATCAGTCCCGCTGAAGACGTCCTTCTGAAGTCAAGAAACTTCTCGTACTGTTAATTACACATTAATTAATCGAGTATCCTTGCAGAAACTTCATTGATGATAATATGATAAAATAGTCACATTAGCTTCTCCTTGTGGCAGCCGAACCATCTGCTTATTTTCTCCACATGCAGCATTGTTTTGAATGCACTGAGTTAATCAATGTAGATCTGGTTTTGGTTGAAAAGGCTGCTCTTGGCTGAAAAGTGCTTAGCTTGGTCTTCTTTGGCGTAGGAGTTGGTTGGTCCTGCTTGCCAGGGTTTGATGATCTAGCTAGTCTGGACCAATGTCTGGAACACTGGTCAGCAACATAAGAAAAAGACTTAAGGTTTATGGGGTCAGAATCTGAAGGTTAGATTGAGATGAATTTCACCTGAACTGAATTTGGATGCCCTAAACCAGTGGTTATCAGACTTTGGTGTAAAACAACATTGGGCATTTATTACTATGTACTGTATTTAAATTGTCCATTCCCTTTTGAAGTCTTTTAACAACAACAACAATAGCGATTATTATTATTATTATATTTAATTAATTATAATTATAATATTATTAATAATAATAATAATTCATCATATTTTACATTGGGTATTTATTCATTTTCTGTTTTCTAACACAGTGCAAATTTCTTTACAATTTCTGCTGAGCTCGTGTATATTGATTACTGTATTTGTGATCATGTGTCTCCAGAGATTTCTATCCGCATCATACTGATGATCAGTTTCCATGGTTACTACACACGTTCACTGCTTTCAGATAATTACCCACATGTTAAATACGCAGTGGTAGTGGCAGTTCATTATGAGGGGACAGGGAAGCGGTGCGTAGGTTTGAAAACATATACAGTGCTGGCAAAGTGCAGTGACAGCTAGCTTTTGTATTCAAGGGCAGCTTCACACAACCTTGAACAGTTTGCATTTCATGGGCCATTTATAGAGGTTTGAGATTGAGTCCCTTGAATAGTCTGACATGGAAAATATTATAAAAATAAAAAAAATTGCTTATTGTTTGGCTTTAGACTAAAATGTAAGGTTGAATTGAGCAAAGAAGAACTATCTTTGGGAGTAAAACATACTGTTAATTTACTGTGGTGTATGATATGACAACAGCCTCCACAGCAAGTGTGTGTGTAAATACAGATTAGTGTACACTATAGTGTCAGTTTACACATACAACCTCACGTGGGTGGTGTTATTTGACTGTGGGTTATTTGATTCCTTCTGTATGGAAACTGTAACTTCTGTCAACAGAAACAGATCTATCGGTGAACATGTTGTTAGTGTTGAGCTTTGGATGTTGAAGGCTGCTCTAGGCACATCCCTAGGGGTGCAGGTACAAGAAGGCTAAGAGTTTGCTTGGGTGGACTGATGAACTATGAAAGCACAATCAGGGATCTCTGCAGAAACCGAAAATCTTACATAACACCAGCAAATTATTGAGTTGGTTCAAAGAGTCTCTTAGAGTTTGGGATATGGATCCTAATACAGCTTCTGTACTTTGGGAGAAAGCATTATGATCACCTAAAATACTTTATAAAAGAAAGTAGGATCACCTAAAATGCTAGTTTATGCTATAATACAGTGTTGATTCATTATATCATTCTTGTGTTTTAGCAGGTGCTGTCGTCTTACAGTCTTCACTCAGGATCTGTCTGTGTGAAATGTCTCTAGGCTGTTGAGGGTGTCAAGAGAAAATCATCTTTCACTTTGAATCACTTGCTAGAAAGATTAGGATACAGGCTATTTTGTGATATTATTAGGCCTGCGCATGAATATATGTTGATCGAGCTCTTACTGTCTTTCATTTGAAATGGTACCATGTGTCTGCTATGCCATGTGTCTGCAAAAGTCTAGAAAATCAGAATGATCTACTCTTAAGAGACCAATAGATTAATATTAGATAGTATGTAATATATGCAATGAAAATGGATGTTAGGAAAGATTTCTATTTCAAATAAATGCTGTTCTTTTAAGCTTTCAAAAAAAAAAAGTATCACAATTTCCACAAAAATATTACCCAGCATTGGGTTGTATTTAACCCAGCATTTTTTAGAGTGCACTGTGTTCAACTTTAATAATAGTTAGAAATGGTTCTTGAGCAGCAAATCAGCATATTAGAATGATTTCTGAAGGATCATGTGACTTTGAAGACTGTAGTAATGTTGCTGAAAATTCAGCTTTGCATTACAGGAATAAATTACATTTTAAAAATATATTAAGTGTTTACTTTATTGTGAATAGCCTTGTAAATGAAAGAATAATTTATCATTACTTTAAGTATGTTATTGTGCTTCATAGAGTACTCAGATGCTTCAGTGCTAAGGATGCACTTTTTTCTCTTTATGGATAAACAGATTGAATCCTCCACCAGGCGCAGGCAGGGTAATTACTCCACTCGTTTATTCTGCGTGTGAATAGATGAAGGGCTATTAAGAGCATTTATGAATGGATGGTGGGCTTGAGATGTGCTTATTTGATCTGAACAATAGCACTGCAGTTCTTGAGAGACTCCAGACAGATTCCATTCAGAGTTTCTGTATTATAAAATAATATTGTTTTTTTCAAGTATTACCCCTTGGCACTTTAAAAGAGTTTCTTTGTTAAATGAGTAAACCGTGCTATTGATTTCCTTTTGGATGTTTCAGGAAACGCTGGTGAGAAAGGGATGTTTCACTTCTTTGGTGAGATGCATTGTTTGGAAGTCAATGGATTAGACATCTATCATGTCATTTGAGGGAATTTTCAAATGGCTGAAAAACTCATGTAATACTCATCACTATTTCAGTTTCATCACTGAAAACTTTCACTGCACAGATTAGTAATAGTGCAATCCTGTTTTACTGCAGTTTATATATCTAAGGGGAGTATTTTTACAGTGTCAAGTGGTTTGATTGTCTGTTCACTGTTTGCTCAAAACCATAATAAAAAAAAGCAAATAAAACAGCTCATAAATCAGCAACTGATGTCATTTTGTTTGCTTGTAGGGGAGGACCGGCCGAGGGAGAACATCGTGGGCAACGCAGATGGACAGGCGATGGTGGGCGGAGCAGGGGTGGAGTCAGGGGCAGGGAGGCAGCGATTACACTGCTGTGTTCGAGTGACAGCCATCCAAGTGCGAAAAGCAATATGGGGCGTGGCCATGGTGATGTGTGTGTGCTCATCATGGGCAGGCTCCACCCAGCTGGCCAAGCTGACCTTCAAGCAGTACGACGCACCGTTCACTCTCACATGGTTCACCACAACGTGGAACTGCCTCTTCTTCCCTCTATATTACATCGGCCACCTGTGCAAGAGTCCTGAGAGACAGACACCAAAACAGAGGTTTAGGTAAGAATCTGGTGAGATCCGTGAGATTGTGTTTATCCAGCAGTGCACTCTGGGATTGCCTTCTTGGTGAAGAATATACAGCTTATTAGGTTCTGGAGCAGAGCGAAATATTAAAACGTAGTACAACTGAAATATCCAACCGTTTTGTGTGAGTATCACAGACATCTGGAGAATCTGTTTAGTGAAATTCCTTTTCTATTGAGGGGGACACCGAGGAAATTCCATGCCGTAAAGCATGAACAGTTTGTCCTTTCCGGGTTTCTCCTTTTATCTTCTGTGCTGAATACTAAGCAGGCTCATTGCTTATTTAAACTGAGTCGTTAAAGGAAAATACCCCTCCGCTCTGTCTAGGAAGACCAAAGTAAAGAGTGTTGGGAAGTAAAGCAATATACTGTTGATTCCAATGCTTCTTTTTATTTAATCATTTAGCAAATGCTTTTGTGTAAAATGCATAAAAGCCCAAGCAATTTATCACACAGGAGAAAACAATATTAGTAGCACTGCAATACAGGATTTGAATTGAAGTAAACCTCTGACTGCATATTCAAGTACAATGTGATTTGAAATAGGACATTTTACTTGATCAGCATTCTTTTGTTGGTTTCAGAATAACAATACTATTAAATAAATCTATCCATAACTAAAATCAGAGAGATGACAAATTAATAAAGTTGTTGAATGTAATGGAGACAAGTAGTGATTTTTTTCATTTGATTTGATTTATTTGCGAAGTCTTTCCAAGTACAAGAAAGAAAGAAAGAAAGAAACTGTACAAGAAAATAAGACAATCATCCCATACAATTAAGGGGGAAAAAACTTATTTCCTCACAAGTCACATTTTTAAAACTTCTCACATTTTATATACCTTCAGAGACTCTGGTCATTTATTCCAAGCAAATGTATATTTTAAAATGTATGTAAAAGTATATGAAAAGGTATTATATGTATAAAACTTATATGGAAGGAAGGGTATTTTTATTGAATTCCCAATTTAAAAAACAAAGTCCAAAATGAAAGGAATAACAATCCTGAGGAAATAAGCAACTCCTGAAAATGGGCAAAATGAAGCCTTTAAACAAAATCATCATTCATACTCCTGATGATGGCTAGCAGACGGAAGTTCATGGACCGGATTCGTGACACTGAGGAACAATAACTCAATCTAGCCAAAGGACCAAATACATGCTTTGACTGAAACACGAATCACATACAGTATATAGACCTGAGTCTGACTCATACCAAAAACACAATGAAGATACAAATTAAATAACCTCATTCAGTAATGAAACTTAAACCAGGACAAAATGCCAAATAATACTCATAATGTTCACTTAAAAACACAAATGTAACCATAATTAAACTAATAGGGAAACTACTGAAAATAGATGTGAACAGGTGAATGCAAACAAGACCGTTTCCTAAATAAAATGGTTTAATTTCCTGTAGAAACAGCATATAGATGGAAGCTATGCTTCATTTCTCTGTTTGCCTGATTTTACCTGGAAGTGCTGCAGTTACTCTTGTGACTCCAGGACACTGAAGATTGCAAAATGTCTTTGAACTGATCTGTTCAGACAGTCATATATTTGTCAAGCACAGAAACCGATAGGTGGAAAAATGCTATCTGACACCGCAAGCATTTCGAGATTTGAGAAATTGTTTATTTTCACTTATCGATGGCTTAAACGCTAACAGACATGGGATCTTCAAGATACTATACTGTATGTCACATAAGAACACAATTCAGGCAATTGAAAAGAAAGCTTGAGTAATTTCTCAGTTGTATTTAAAGTCCATTATCCCACATGGAGGTGAACTGAGGACAGCTCTGAGCATAATGGCCAGAGATGGATGGTAGAAACAAGTAATGTGTGTATTTTGTCTTCAGATCACATCAACCTTACTAACAATGAACATTTTCACTGAGGGAATATAGCTTTAAAAATTGTTTTCAAATGGACTAATTGTCTGCTGGGTGTTTTGTGTGACAGACAAAGATTTTGAAAGTGTGGTAAAGTAAATATGTACTCATTTTGAGCCTGACATTCAAATATCCCAAAAAAATTGGGATATTTTTTTTTTCTTTTTTTTTTTTAAATACACTACCATTCTAAAATTTCTTATGCTCACAAAGCCTGTAAATAAATGATACAAAATGCTATAAAAATATAAATATTGTGAAATAATATCACATTTAAACTTTTTTGCAGTTTTTCAGTGTCATATGTTCCTTTAGAAATCATTCTAATACTGATGTTGTGCTCAAGAAACATTTCTTATCATCACTATTGGAAACAGTTGTGCTGCTTAATATTTTTGTGAAAATGTATTTAGCCCTCTCACCACTGTTATGGCTCAAATGTATAAATACCTCTAGGGGAAATTCCGAATTAAGTATAACCTGGTGAAAGCCACATCCCAAATTTGGCTTGTAAAATAAATTACCAACCAAGTAAGCAGTAATCATTAGTTACAAAACCCCAGATCTCAGATTAGAAAAGTGTTTTAGAGCATGTGACTACAAATGTGACTACAAATCCCAATGTAAATCCACAAACATGGCTCTGCAAATTAACTTGTTTTTTTCAGGAAAACCACAAGAATTGTACAGAATTTATCAAACTCAAACTTTTCTGCCTCGTTTCTATTCTTCTTTTGAAATAATTCAAGCAAATCAGCAATTCAAATCATCACAAGTCAAATCACCACAATTGCAACCCAAACACTAACGTTATAATTCAAATAAATGCCTAATCCCCCCACATATAGTGAAACCATATTGAGTACTCACAGATCCAGTGATGGGGAAATTCCAAAGACACGATGCAACAATGAAGAAAAACAGCAAATCCCATCGTCATTAGCACAGTCCATGAACCATCCCACAAAACGATGAATTGGATTACTAGTCCAGGTGAATCCTCCGTCCCGGGATGCAGACAGGCCCGATCAACAGCATAGCAAAGCAACTTGGGTCTCTCACCGTCATCTTCTCACGCTGCATGCACGTGCTCACTTTAAGTTCACGCTACTCTCAAATTTAAAGGGTTAGTTCACCCAAAAATGAAAATTAGCCCATAAATTACTCACCCTCAAGTCATCCTAGGTGTATATGACTTTCTTCTTTCAGACGAATCCAGTCGGAGTTATATAAAAAATTGTCTTTGATCTTTCAAGCTCTATCGTTGTACTCAGCGGGAGTTGCATTCCTTCGGTTCAAATGACGTGAAATAAAAAGCACCCTTCCACAAAAAGACAATTTTTAATATAACTCCGACTGGATTCGTCTGAAAGAAGAAAGTCATATACACCTAGGATGCCTCGGGGGTGAGTGAAATGCAGCCTAATTTTCATTTTTGACTGAACTAACCCTTTAAGTTCCATTTACGAGCTCAGTCTTTTCGTTAATCAGTTCCATTTCGTAACAGTATTTATCTGTTCACAAGCAGAAATCTCCTCTTTTTACGGTTGTTTCCCCCCACCACCCAAAGCGTTGCTTACTTTTTCTGTAAGACCCCGCCCCTTGAACTCTAGGGGTCACACTAAAAACATCTAATTGGTTCACAGAAACATTTTTTTAAAGAAACAAAAGACATTTTCTGTTTGTTCACTTCAATATCAAAACCTTTGTAACTATAAAATAGTTACAAAGTTACAAAGGACATTAAAGGGTTAGTTCACCCAAAAATGAAAATTAGTCCATAAATTACTCGCCCTCAAGGCATCCTAGGTGTATATGACTTTCTTCTTTCAGACGAATCCAGTCGGAGTTATTTTAAAAATTGTCTTTGATCTTTCAAGCTGTTTAATGGCACTCAGCGGGTGTTGCATTCCTTCGGTTCAAAAGACGTGAAATAAAAAGCACCCTTCCACAAAAAAAAGTGTCTCACACGGCTCCGGGGGGTGAACAAAGGCCTCCTGTAGCGAATCGATGCGTTTTTGTAAGAAAAATATCCATATTCAAAACGTAATAATCACTTGAATCTAGCTTGCGCCAGCAGTTGTACACAGAAGCAGCTCCGGGAGCATGACGTATGAGGTCAGCGCTGCGCATGCGCCGGTGCGTCTCGTGAAAACCAACGTTTGTTTACAGGATCAAAAGAAGCAAAGTTTCCTTACTTTAGCAAAGGAAAACAAGTCTCCTCTTAGCTTATATCGAAATCCTCCGACATTCTTCTTTACAAATCCTCGTTTTGTACTTCTAATTAGTGACCGTTGTTTTGTTTTGATCTCTCCCCTGCGCTTACGCGTTCGTCACTTCTGAGTGGCACATGCGCAATCGCCGACGTCTTACGTCATCCGCCCGGAACTGCTTCCATGTACAACAGTGCAAGCTAGATTAAATTGATTATTACGTTTTAAATATACAAAAACGCATCAATTCGCTACAGGAGGACTTTGTTCACCCACCGGAGCTGTGTGAGACACTTTTTATTAAGGATGGGCGCTTTTTATTTAACTTCTTTTGGACTGAAGCAATGCAACACCCGCTGAGTGCCATTAAACAGCTTGAAAGATCAAAGACTATTTTTAATATAACTCCGACTGGATTCGTCTGAAAGAAGAAAGTCATATACACCTAGGATGACTTGAGGGTGAGTAATTTATGGGCTAATTTTCATTTTTGGGTGAACTAACCCTTTAAGGACAATGACACTTTCCATATGAACAAGTGTCAGTGATTCCAAAATATGAATCCATATTCATTTCTATATATAAATATAGAAATGAGAAAATCTCAATTTAGAAAACACTTTAAGGATGACAGCAACACTCCTATTAGTAGACCCAAGCTTGAAAAGGGCTCTACAACCGTCACTTTTGATCAGTTTAATTCATCCTTGCTGAAAAAAAGTAAACAATAAATGCACTGACCCCATGGTTTTGAACGGTAGTGTACATAAGGCAAATCAATTGTGCATTATGTGTAGTGGACAATAAATTAATAATGTTTTATCTCTGTGGTATTTCAGAGAGTGCTGTCGGTTCTTCGGAGACGATGGACTGACGGCGAAGGTGTTCTTTACTAAAGTGGCCCCTTTCGGCCTGCTGTGGATTATGACAAACTACCTGTACCTTCAGGCTCTGAGAAAGATCAACAGCACCGATGTATCGGCCCTCTTCTGCTGTAACAAAGCCTTTGTCTTTCTGCTGTCCTGGATCGTACTGCGGGATCGCTTCATGGGTGTCAGGGTGAGTGAGTGGATGGATGGATCGTTGGATAGATGGATGAAATTCTAGATATTTATTTGACATGAGTGTTGCTAAAAGAGTTTAATGATGGATGGATAGATAGATGTCCAATGTTGTTTTCTCTGGATGTCTTCTGCTGTCTAATCCCATGAGTCAGCAGTGCCATCACAATACAATAGTCTAATCCCATGAGTCAGCAGTGCCATCACAATACAATACTTTGCTTTTACAACATTTTCCTGTCTTCTTCCTTTGTACTCTTCCTTTCTTATATTTCCTGTTCCCTTTTTTTCTTGAATCAAAGGAACTAAAGTGCTGTGTAACATTTTCTTTGTCTATGTGTTCCTGTTCCTCCATCTCTCTCACACACACATACATACACACACACACACACGTACACTGCAGTGCTGGGCAGATTTTGGTGAGTCAGGGTGTTTGGACGATCATGGCGCAGTAGAAGTTAAGTAGGTTTCCATATATAAAAAACAATTTCTTATTTCTTGCTTGTGATATTTATGGTGAAATATGCCCTGGACATGTTTCAGGTTTCATATTTACCCATGTGTATTTCTATGTTCTCCTGGAAAGATGATGGTAATATGAATATAGCAACATCCATGAGAATGCAAAACCACAATTTTTCGACAATCTTTCAAACAAAGGAGATAAAACAGTGAGAGTTGGACCAAAACAAAAGGCAGAGCAGGAAAAGAGCGTTAGAGGAAAGCTGTTCAGGAGGGTCGTTGAGTTAGAGTAATCAGTCTTTCTGACGCCCTTGTAATGCTTCTGTACTGCACAATTCAGCTACGCTCTGGAAACATTTTTCATTTGGACACACACACACAACTGTGTATGAAGCAGGCCTGTTCCATCATATATAATGCCAGAGTCATACTTTCTTGAATTCTCATTATCTGTGTATGAAAGGAGAAAGAACAATAAAAAGGACACGAGGACATGATCTGCTCTGATAGAAAATGTATTCATTTATGATTATATCTTTTATAAACCCTCTCTATAATTTTTCATATATTTATTAATTCATTCTTTTAATGTTGCATTCATTCTTTTGGTCATTCTTTTAGATGTTTTAGCTATTGTGATAGATGCTGTAGTCTACAGGCCGTCTTTATGCTGTTTGACGTTAACACAGTGTGATGCCGGTGACCTTTATTTTGTTCTTTTACAAGATTGTTGCTGCCATTCTGGCCATCGCTGGAATCGTGATGCTGACCTACGCTGATGGCTTTCACAGTCACTCTGTTATCGGCATAACGCTTGTAGTGGCCTCTGCATCTGCCTCTGCCCTCTATAAGGTAATCCCGCATCAACAGTCATGACCCTTTTGTTATTCATCAAATGTTTTTCTGTTCAGTCCTGTCGGGGTTTGTGTCATTAAAACTATACTTATCAATAACTGAATCTCTTTACATAGTCATGGAGTGACGTGTCCTTGGAGTGCCTTTGTTTTCTGTAATTGAAATGACCTCACTAATCTATTTGTCTTGATTGATTTGTGATGTACTTTCAACTCCTGCGGTCATCTGAAAAGGACAGATCAATAAGGGAACTGGCCAGAAAGATCAGTTTTAGCTCATCAGTTGACTATCATTTCAAACTTATCATGAGCTAAAAAAAACAGCCATGTTATACCCTTGTTGTCTTTCCTGCAGACATTTGAAATATAAAACCATGTTCTTTTTTTATATTTATCCTGTCCAGTGTTGCCTTGAATCTGTAGTTTGCTAATCTACAAGCTAAATTATTTACGTACAGTCATGCTGGCCATTACAACAGAACTCAACTACACTACAAGCTTTGAAAATGCCCCACATTATATAGTTCAACTTATTTCTGACACAAAAACAATGAAAATATCAAGCATATAGACTTACATTTAAATAAAACTAATTTTTTAACCAAATATGTTTACATATGTTTAACCAAATATGTATTTTGTTACAAAATAGAACAAGTAAAATATGAATACTGTGATAACTCCATATGGATTAGGTAATTGAAATTAAGCATCTGAATGAACCGATTCACCAAAAATAAATAAATAAATAAATAAATCTGACCTGACCTAGTCTTGTTTTTCATTCTTCAGGTGCTCTTCAAGCTTGTCTTGGGCAGCGCCAAGTTTGGAGAGGCGGCTCTATTTCTGACCATTGTCGGAGGTGCAAACTTTGTCTTTATGAGCTTTGTGCCAGTTATACTGTACTTCACACATGTTGAGTACTTCACATCCATAGCTGATCTTCCCTGGGCCTGCCTGTGTGGAGTAGCTGGACTCTTACTAGGTAGATAAAATACTGACAGAAAACAGTATATTATACATATAATATACACACAATTATATCTGACATTTACTGTGCATTTTTTCTTCTTTTACAGCATTCAATATTCTGGTGAATTTTGGCATTGCCATTACATACCCTACACTCATTTCACTTGGCATTGTGCTGAGTGTCCCAGTCAATGCAGGTGAGTTGATTTTCAAAGAAAAAATGTTTTATAATAGCAAACTTGCTTATAGAAAAACTGTATTTTGTGCCACTGACTGATTTAAAGTGATAGTTCACCAAAATAAAGTAATGACATGGCTTAGTGGCATTGTTTGTTTTTCTTTTATCTTTTAATTGTTTTTCCATTTCAAAAATATTTTAAGCTATGAACCAAACCAAGTATCTACAAAAAGAATTGACACATTACAAACTTGAATTTAAAGCAAAATAGTATTTGGAACTTGACAAAATGTACAAGAGTTAAAATGTACTCATCCCATGAAGCACTGAGAATGACGTAATCAATTCAAAAACTACAGTACAAAATAAAAATATTGAGAGTTTAATTTAAAGTAATTGATGAATCAGTTGATGTAAACTGCTACAGACGCTGACAAGGAAGAGAAGAATTGTTGAATAAAGTTGTTATTTTTGCTTTCTTTGCACACGAAAAGTATTTTCGTAGTTTCATAAAATTGAGGTTGAACTACTGATGTCACATGAACTAGTTTAACGATGTCCTTACTACCTTTCTGGGCCTTGAACGTTTCAGTTGCGTTGCTGTCTATGCAGGGTCAGAAAGCTCTCGGATTTCATCAAAAATATCTTAATTTGTGTTCCGAAGATGAACGAAATGTCTTACAGGTTTGGAACGACATGAGGGTGAGTAATTAATGACAGAAATTTCATTTTTGGGTGAACTATCCCTTTAATATATTAGGGGGGATATTATATTACATTACACTGGTAGCTCATTGTATGTCTGTTTTAAAAGATGTTAAAAATAATTTTATGTAAGGAGAAAATGAAAAAGATTATAACATTTGGAAACCTGTTTTTGAATCAGTTGAAAGTGGACAGTTATTGTAACTTCATCTAGAGAGTTTGTGGTGGATGTTAGTGGCTCTTAATGTATTGTATGGTTGGTGTTGCAGTGGTGGACCTGTACACCTGTGATATCCACTTCAACACAGTGCGACTCATCGCTGTGTTCATCATCTGTCTGGGCTTCCTGATGCTGCTGTTACCGGAGGACTGGGATCAGTGTTTGATTGAGCTCGGCACCAAACTCAGAAAGCGGGAACAGCCTGTTGAGCCGGCTGAGACTGGAACCAGCTCAGGACTCAACTGGACCCGACGGGCCAGGACCTCCATTTCAACGTTTTCCCACTGACGCACTCACCTTCTCCCATCCAGTGACTGGATGATACTGGGAAGAGCATTCATTCATAATATTTCTCAGTCAATGAGGTTCCATAGGCCATAATTGACCATAATGCACATTATAACAAAAACTGTCCAAAAGCATTTTTTTTTTTTGCAGTTCTCCCAACTGTAAGTGGATTTGCTTGGTAAGTGGTAAGCTTGGGTCTTTATTTGAAACTCAAGAGCAGGGGTCTCAAACTACCGATCTATGGGTCAAATTTGACCCATGAAATGAGTCAAGTGTTAATAGGCTATCCTTAAATCCAGCCCACAAATCAATTTATAGACTTTATTTTTTACACTTTATTTTTTTTTATTAAAACTTTAATTTAATATTATATTTAATAATATTTCAATTTTATTTTATATACTTTTGTAATTTAATGTAAATTATGTATTGCAATTTATTTTTATATATTTCTTATTCTGCACATGGCTTTTATAGGCCTAAAACTTGAATGTAAAAGAACAGAAAAGTCAGAAAAGTTTGAGTTACATGCATCTATATAAGACTAGATGGCTCTTATTACAATCGATGGAGTGGTTTACACTGGGAGCACTTGTTGTGGCGTCTTCAGTGGATGGAAGATTCTATTTTTGATGCACTACAGCTACTCCAACCTTTTTATTTTGCCTGTCTGATATATATAAAAATATTTTTAATATCATATATGTGGACTGATTGCTATCTATTTAAGTCTTTTTATATTGAAAAATGTCTGATTGTTACGTCAAGGCCAGGTTGTGTTATTTCCAATCTTTTTAATGGCACTGCTACCTGCCTGTGCAAGGAGAAAATTGCAGTTGCAGTAATGCAATTTCAGGCATCATTACTCCAGTAAACATGAGCATCGTGCTAGGTATGAAGGAAGATGTATCCATGCCTCAATAACTGTATATGTAGTTAAAATGTATGGTCATAAAACACATTTGTTGTAACAGTTCAACTGGAAAACATCATGTAGTTTAAGTTTGAGACCTCTGCTCAAGAGACCCACATAACCAATATCTCCACAATAAAGAGTACCTGCTGGTCTTGAGATTGTTTAACTTCTCTTTGGAGCTCAGAGAATCACATCTGTCACTTTACAGCTCACATTATGACTCTCACTGGCGCAAATCACTGCGAGTGCCCAGTAGAACATGTGCCAAACATTAAGAACTGCTACTTGTGCCGTCTTCTTGCACAACAAAGATCTACCTGGCAACAGGTGCATCTGAGGGATTTACCCTCCCAATCTGTGACTGAAGATGTTCTGGATAACGGCAATCTCGAAGGTTTGGGTGGAAGGGCGAACCAGGAATAGCCTCAGAATACCGTGGTGCTGAGGTTGGCTGGGATGCTGGAATAGTGCAGACGTCCAGCTGGCCTCATACAAAATTCTTCTAAAATGTAAACAAAGATATTTGTGGGTTAACAACAGCATCCAGACTGTTTATACTGAAGCTATACTTTGTTTCCATCACATTTTTTCTGAGTCACATGCTAACCACTGTGAGGACACTTCAGGGGCAGAACTGGCAAACCGAAAAGGCAATCTTCCGTGAGTCGTGTTACCGTAAAGGATGCCGTGAGCATCCTGTGAATGTATGAGCATTTCTGAAAAGTGCACCCACGCTATGTGCTTTGCAAAAGGTGGTGACTGGAACTGATACGCCACCTTTACATACACAAAACACATCCAGCATTTTCATAAGACTGCTTTTCTTGAGCACTGCATTGCATTTTTTATCCTTATGAACTATTCCATTGGAAGGGAGTTATTTCTACAGAACAATGCATGCAGAAAATGCCAATAAATGCTAGATGACGGCTTCACTGCCTTTTCTTTGATTTGCAATAGGATCTCATCAGCACTGTCTCCCATTGTCATTGTTACAATGACAATAAATATAATATTGTATTCCTCTGGAATTATTGCTATTGCTATTATATTGATATTATTGTAAACCTTTGTAAGGAATGATTTTTACACTGAAATGCATTCTGATCACATTTGAGGAAAATGACAACAAAAATAAATGAAAACATCAATTTAATAGATCTGCTTTGTCTGTTTTCACATGTACCTTGTAAAACTACACATTTTCTCCTGTTTAAGAATATCAAACAAGCTTATGCTTAAGTTTGTTAGAACATGATTAATTAACAGAGACCAACTGAATGGGTTCAATAGAATTTGTAGAATAATGTTTTAGTATATACAATATATGTTCTGGCAAAATTTGATTGATGAGACAAGCCAATCATGTTGATAAAATCATTTAATATTTTGTCATTTTCTGTCATATTACCCAGAATTAGGTGCATCAGAGAAAAAAATTGATTTGAAGACCTTAATGCAAATTGTTTATTTTTTTCTTCTTTTTTTTTTTCAAACAAATCCATGTTCCAATCCATGTGTAATAATGGTGTAGGAGGAATGAAGAGGAAAATAAAAAGTTTTCAACAAGATTGACAGCACTGAAAACACATATATGGGTCATCAGATCCATAAGCATGATTGACATTACAAAAAATGTGGTTACTGTAAAGCACTTATAATGGAAGAACACAGACCAAGCAGTAAACATTAAAGCTGCAGTCCGTAACTTTTGGCGCTCTAGCGGTTAATAAACAGAACTGCGTGCGTCTTGAGGAAGAACATTGTAGCCGGAGCTACTTCTCTCTGTTTATGTCTATGGCGAATCACGCAGGTACTGGGCTACTACGCAGCGGTACCTACCCGAACCAGTCTAAACAGTCCGAATATAAACACTTATTATAGGTGTACCGAAGTGATTCAGGACAAGCTAAAAACACGGTTTGGAAAATGGATTCATGGTGTACTCGCTTATTATAATACATTTTGAACACAAAAAAGTTACGGACTGCAGCTTTAAAATACAGTGTTTCAAAAGTGTATCTTAAACATGTTGGCATGATGTTGACTAACGTAACAGAAGCTCTTCCTGACCTTGCCCGTTTAAAAGTTATATGTGATCATATAATTTGTTAACTTAAAGGCACAATATATAATTTTTGCGGCTAGAGGGCGTGTATTCAAAATAAACAAAGAGGCAAAGTCATAGTTTGATGACGCAGTGACTGAGTGTGGAATCATGGGAGTTGTCGTCTTCATCCCCACAGCCGAAGCAATCCGACGGGACTCGGGCAGAAATCATGTTCATGGATGAGCTAATGATTTGGTAAGGTAGTAGATTGAAGCAGGGTGAGGCTGAAAGCCGTCGAAGCGAAACGAGGCCGCTGAACGAGCGTGACACACGGCTCGAAAGCAGCGGAGCTTTTATTATGCCACAGTCGACCGCTTCCACTCCTTCCGGTCGTGCGTATGTGGGGGGGGGGAAAGCAGCGCTGTTTTATGATACTAGATACATTTGATCTAATAAAACGCACAACATATTAAAGCGTCTTTGGTGTTTCCATGTTTTCTACAAAACAAAACCAGAAATCGAGGGGTTATGACGTCATTGGCAGGCGACACAATGACACTATGGACACACTCCGTGTCACTAGTTAAAATTGCTTCTCTCTCTGGATTTAAACATTCTTCGATACATTTGGGATAATGTAAGAACACAAGTCAGCAAAATATATAACACTGTTCTAGTGGTTTTTGGATATTTTAATAAAAAAATCTTACAAATTGTGCCTTTAAATGTCACACTATGTAACATGGGTAAAACCAAGTAGCTTTCACACGACAAGCCACAACCAACAGAAATCATGTCGGCAAAGCACAAAAGTTCATCCACATAGTAAGAAGGCCCACCTAAAAAAAAAAAAAGATTAAAAGCAAGTTAAAAGCTCATAAAAACAGGTTTTACTGAATAATTCATACGTGCTTTAACAAAAACTATGACTTTCACTTTTTCTGCTTTAAAACCCTCTGAAACACATAAGCAAAAATAATCATTTCTGAACATATTTGTATCAAATATACATAAAATGATCAATATAACAGTATATAGACTCTATATAACATAAAATCAATATAAACAGAAGTTTTAAAAACATTTTATATAAAATATGTATTATAATGTACATTACTGGTCAAACGTTTGGAATAATTACGATTTTTAAATGCTTTTTAAAAATATGTAATATATACCACGGCTGCATTTATTTGGCTGTTGGGCCGGGACAGGGCGGTTTCGGTGGCCTGCACCAGAGCTACACTAATATAGGGAGTCCAGCACAAGAAGAAAGTGGCGATGACCAAGAACAACCTCAAGACTCCATGATGCTGAGTTTGGTTGGGATTCTGAGGGATACTGCTATGGATTTGAGCCAAGGACGAGTGCAGACATCCACCAGCCAACTTGGAAGACATCTCAGATGGAGCATCTGGAGAAATTTCACCAGGGACATCCGACTGGTCCATCACAAATCTCCCACTCACATGGTACACCAGCCTGGGCGGTGTGAAGGAGTCCATGAATGAGTGTTGGAGATTCAAGACAGATGGGGCCCTGTTACATTGGAGATGTTCTTCCAGACTGTGAATCCTCCTAGCGTGGTACCGTGCAACACGGACAATCTTCACGTAGCAGAACAGGATTGTTGACTACAGCTGACTACAGATGACTACAGCTGGTAGAAGAAATGATAATGAGGCCATTATTACGGTGTAGCTTGGGCTGTTGGCCCAGTTCACTGCCCAGCTGTACACGGGAGCCACAAAACTAATGCTGCTCCATCCAAATAGAGGAGGACAGCTGGTCACCATAGCTTGCAGCCAGATCCATAGCACTTCCAAACCTGTTCTCCAAATTGTGCAGTGGGAATCGTACCGGAGGCAGTACACAATGGAGAAATAACGGTCCAGCACGATAGCGGCGAGTGTTAAGACTGACACGGTGCAGTAGACTGAGGACGTGTAGCCGACATACAGACATAGATCCTTGAAGACCAAGAGAACCAGTACAAAATGATCCAAAATACTGATAAAACGTGATCTTGTGACTTAAAGTTGATGCATTTAATTTTTCCATGCTAAAATAAAGACTGTGGTTCTATCAAACCATTGTTATGTTTTAAGAATGCCGATCAGTTTAGCCCAGCAACTTTCAGTTAATGGCATGAATTTGGGGGCGGGACAACTGGTTTGGTCGACCAATGGCAAAAGGGGGGGAAACTTGTTTGGAAACAGTGACTACTTTTGCAATTCCATTTAGTGGTGCTGGCAGTTGGAAAATCACACACTTCACCTTTAAGGTATAAACATTTGATGTTTAAAAGAAAAATAATATTCAGTAATATTATT